GGAGGAGTTCAAGTACCTCAGAGTATTGTTCACGAGTGAGGGAAGAACGGAGAATGAGATTGACAAATGGATATGTGCAGCATTTGCACTATTGCAGACTCTATGCCACTTTGTTGTAGTGAAGAGAGAGCTGAGCCGTAAGGCAAAAATCTCTGTTTACCAATCAGTCTACGTTCCTACCCACACCTATGGTCATGAACACTGGGTCATGACTGAAAGATTGAGTTTTCAGATGCAGGCAGTTGAAATGAGTTTCCTCCACTGGGTAGCCAGACTTAGAAAGGGTAGCTTAGTGATAGGGTGAGAAGTTCAGTTATCTGGGAGGAACTCAGAGTAGAACCGTTGCTCCTCCACATTGAAAGGAGCCAGTTTAGGTGGTTTGGGCATCTGGTAAGGATCCTTCGGGCATGTCTGACAGGGAGGAGACCCCGGGGAAGACCCAGGACACACTGGAGGGACTACGTCCGGCCTGGGAACACCTTGGAATCCTCTGAGAAGAGCTGGAAGTGATAGCTGTGGTAAGAGATATCTGGGCCTCCCTGCTCAAGCGGCTACCCCCACGACCCAACTTCGGAATAAGCAGAAGATAATGGATGGATGGATGGATGGATGGATGGATGGATGGATGGATGGATGGATGGATGGATGGACTGAACTTGCAAAAGGGCCTTCTCCTACTCTGCTCCTGTTTCCTGCAATATCTTGCAAAAGGACCTGAAGCTCTCGACTTTGACCTCTCTAAGTGGCTTCAAACATCTGCTAAGTTTGTGGCAAAAATCAACACAGACATGTTTCTGTTTTTAGTATTCTACATTGCTTTACAACCTAGCTGTTTTTTGTATACCATTTTCATTTATTTGTTTTTCTCAATTCATATGCTTTTTATGACTGTCTACTGTTGTCTTTGTTGTCCACTGTCGTCATCACTCTTTGTTAAAATCAGGTCTCTCTTGTAAATGAGTCCCAGAGGCTCAATGGGATTAACCATAAAGGTTGAATGGATGGATGGATGGATGGATGGATGGATGGATGGATGGATGGATGGATGGATTTTTATTTTCAAACAATCTTGAAAAGTAGATTTTGGCTTTCATGGTTGTTAGGGCCAAATGTTTTGTGTGAGAAGCCTCATGTTTTCTGGCATCTATGTCATATATTTGGGAATTTTTACTAACATAATTATTATAGATGAGTACACACTAGCATGACTGTGTTTCAGCATTTTGTATAGTGAATGGGTTGACTTCAGACTATCAGTGTTGGACCTCTGATTTTTAAAACGTTTTATAGTTTGAAAAGTTTTTTTTACAAACAAATATTAACCAATTAGGCAACATTGAACATTCAGATGTAGCACCTGTTTTCTTTTTAGTTGTTTTGTTATGTTTTGGTCAATAGTGTCTGATAATTAAAGTTTTTTAAAACTTTGAGGCAGAATTCCCAGAATGAAATAAATGTGTTACTGTGATCTTTTATCATACACTTGTTCAATACTGTAAATCATTTGGTTTAATTTTAATTTATCATTTAAATCTCCTGTGGTCCCATGATTAGTGGATTTTTTTCTTTAACTTTTGCTTTCTGGGCTTTTTTTTAAATTCAAGGCTTTTATGTTTGGCAGGATCACATGTACTTTACACTTTGACCACTCAAATGGATTTTAAACAGCTGTTAAGTTCATGGCAAAAACCAATGCAAACACGTTCCTATTTTTAGTATTTTACACCGCTTTATAAAGTAGTTGTTTTTGTTTCTTTTTTTTATTTCATTCCTTCAATTTACTTTTCACCTTATATGCTTTTATAGGATTGTCTATTGTTGTTTGTACCTTATCTGTGTTGTTTGTTTAAAACAGGTCTCTCTTGTAAATGAGTCCTCGTGACTCAGTGAGACTAACCTGTATAAATAAAGGTTGAATGAATGAATGTACAGCGCATGAGCTTTAGAGGTTACTGCCAACCTGTCTGAATATTAACAACTGAGCTTTTGTCCATAAAAGAAAATGTCAAACAAAAAAAATGACATTTTGTGTTAAATCTGAACACAGGTAATACATATAACTGTACTAAATATGCTTAATATTGCTGCAGTTTAAATAAAACATTTATCTGATGTAGTCCTGAGCTCATGTTATTGATGGCCCTTAGACACTTGTGATAATTACTATCTATTTTCTTCATGACCATGTGAAAGTTGTGTGCATGGTCCTTGAGTCTAAAGTCTTGCTGATGATGATTCACGTGTAAAAAGTGTTTGTTTGGGTTGGGAAAGCCTTTAGCAAAGGGAGTGACAGAACAACTTTTGCCATCTGACCTACAGGTCAGCAGAGATAAAAATAAAAAAAACTCCTGTCCAACACTTAGTTTAATGAAGATGTATGACCTAATCAACTTACTAGTGGACTATAAGTATTTTTGTTGCCAATGAATATCTGTGTGTTTGTCTGTCAGTAAAATATCTCATGAAACACTGAACAGATTTAATGAAAACTTTCAGAATGTCATAACTAAATATAAATCTACCACTGACTGCCATATTTGAAACCAACTTCCTTCAAGATGAACAAGCTGACTGACCTCATGCAGCAATGGCTATACTTTAATTTATTCAATTTCAGAGATGTTGGCCCTCATCTGCTCACACAGACTCATGTACGTGCTGCTGTTGTTTTGGCACATTGTTTTTGTACTATTAGTGCTTAGCTCATTCTTAGTCTGTGTATTCGTAGTTTAGTGGATGTAGTACATTCTTAGTTCATGACTCGGATCTTACTAATGTTTTTCTTTTCAATTTGTATTTTTGTTGGACGTAACTCGGACCCTGCATACATAGTTTCGTCCCTCCTCATGTACCATGTGTGGTGTGTATGACAAATAAATGTCTCAGAATCTCTGAATCTTAAACTAAGATGTAATTTACTTGTAGCTGAAAGACATTCTCAATAAAAACTCAAAGTGCAAACAGATTGCATGGGATCTTTGTTTACAGCTTTGGCATTGCCTGTTGGAGTCAACCATGGTTGTCTGTAAAGTTTTTCACAAAATTATGAGGATGTTGTTTTCACAAGCACTGAAGGTTTTAGACCAAAAAACATTGACGTGGTACCACTGTAAAATACTGGAGAAATATAATTTATTAAGCTTTGACAATTTTTTTAAATTTTCTTGTTTAAAATTGACTTTTAAATGCATTAATGGTCTTGTCCCAGAGCTGGTGAGCAGAATGATTTTAAAAGTCAGCAGCACAGGAGTTGCAACAAGAGGTGCAGTTGATGGAGACTGCAAACCTGCAAAATACAAAACATCATTTGTTCACTGTTCCTTCTCATTCAAAGGCCCTCATATCTGGAACAATTTACCATCAGCAATAAAAACATTAACAGATCAGAACAGAGTTTTTAATTCCCAAGTGAAAAATGGTTGAAACAAAAACCAAATATGTGAACACTGAAACCCATGGGGATGGAGCAGCAGGCATGTGTGTGAAGAAACTGTTTGTTTTTAATTAAAATTTAATTTCAATTAAATTGAAATTTTTTTTTTAGCCATTTTTATATAAAAGTCCAACCAAGAACTGGGTTTGCAAATTAGCCTGTGGCTAGAAAACCTTTGTACAAAGCAACGGTTGCTTCGTTTTTAACATGTAACTTTGTTTAATGTGCCGTCCTTGTTCAAATAAACTTGAATGAATAATGAATGAATAAAGTATCAAAAAGTGAAAAAGTAATTATAATATTTACAAGGTCCTAAAGAGAGATAATAAACAACAACATGGTAGAATAAAACGATGCAAGCAGGTTGAATTTTTATGAATAAGTATTTCAATTACAGAAGTATTGAAATATTGATATTATGTGTTTGACAAATACAGCAATACAAGAGTTAGAGGATCACCTATTGATGTACACATGCCTACTTTTTTATTTTATTCTTTGTTTGTCCTTATTGTCTTTGTGGGGGAAGGAAAGATGAGGAACGAAAACAAGTGAGAACGCGCTTTCAAAGCAGCCCAAACAGATTAAACATTTGCATCAAATACATTTTTAACATTTTACAATTGTTTTTTATTGCATAGATAATGTAATATATATATATATATATATATAT